TCAACTCTTCTGGGAAGGCTGTCCATAAGGTTTAGGAGTGTGTTTATGGGAATGTTTGACCATTCTTCTAGATGCTCATTTGTGAGGTCAGGCATTGATATTGGACAAGAAGGCCTGGCTCACAGTCTCTGCTCTAATTCATCCCAAAAGTGTTCTATCAGGACAGATTGAGGTCAGGACTCTGTGCAGGCCAGTCAAGTTCCTCCACCCCAAACTCGCTCATCCATGTCTTTATGGACCTTGTTTTGTGCATTGGTGCGCAGTCATGTAGGAAAAGGAAGGGGCCATCCCCAAACTGTTCCCAAAAAGTTGGGAGCATGAAATTGTCCAAAATGTCTTGGTATGTTGATGACTTAAGAGTTTCCTTCACTGGAACTAAGGGGCCAAGTCCACCCCTTAAAAAAACAACCCTACACCATAATACCCCCTCCACCAAACTTTACACTTGGCACAATGCAGTCAGGCAAGTACCGGTCTCCTGGCAACCGCCAAACCCAGACATGTTCATCGGATCGCCAGACAGAGAAGTGTGATTGGTCACTCCAGAGAACACACCTCCACTGCTCTAGAGTCCAGTGGTGGCGTGCTTTACACCACTGCATCCAACGCTTGCATTGCACTTTGTAATGTAGGGCTTGGATACAGCTGCTCGGCCATGGAAACCCATTCCATGAAGCTCTCTATGCACTGTTGTTGTGCTAATCTGAAGACCACATGAAGTTTGGAGATCTTTAGCTATTGACTCTGCAGACTTCTGAACACTGTGCGCTTCAGCATACGCTGACCCCGCTCTGTCATTTTACGTGGCCTACCACTTCGTGGCTGAGTTGTTGTTGTTCCCAGTTGCTTCCACTTTGTTATAATACCACAAACAGTTGACCGTGGAATATTTAGAAGGAAATTTCACGGATGGACTTATTGCACAGGTGGTAACCTATCACGGTACCATGCTTGAATTCACTGAGCTTTTAAGAGGGACCTATTCTTTCACAAATGTTTGTAGAAGCAGTCTGCATGCCTAGGTGCTTGATTGTATACACCTGTGGCCATGGAGGTGATTGGAAAACCTGAATCCAATGATTTGGAGTAGTGTCCCAATACTTTTGTCAATATAGTGTATATATTCTCACTTTTATAATTGGATCCCAATATAAATCAAGGTCACACAGGCTGAATTCCTTATAACTCAGGAGATATCTCAAGCATTCCACTTCCTTCTTCTCCTCCTGCCAAAGCTTCCCACTCAGTAATAAAGTTACAGGCAAACAAAAATAAAAAATATATTGGAGGAGCGCCTGAGTACTTAGAATTAAATTATGACAGCAGCCATTTGATGGTTTGATGGTTTGGTTGAGGAAACAAGCAAATGTGACAGCAATCCTGGCAATTTGGGAATGTAACTGTTTTGTTTAAACTGTTAAATCAATGGGTTTAGTTCCGCTTTATGATTTACTTCTCCTCAGGATTTCTGGGCTTTAGCAAAATGGCAGACTCCAGTCTAAAGTTCCTCTTTAAGTTTTCTAACTAGTAAAGGTACTGGTCTGCATTTTGGAAGTTCAGTTTCAGTTTCCCCACAGATGATTATTTGCAAAGATGTTGTAGATCCATATTCTTAAAATGGAACTATCGCCATGGTTATGGCTAAGGTTTCTATTTTTCTGAGTTCCCCCCTGTAAAATAGTTTTGTTACTGGTTGATCCAGCCTGTAGATTCATTATTTTTCTACATCCTTTTACAGATGTCCAGCAAAAATATCAGTTAGGCAAGTTCAAACAATCCATAAAACAGACAATGGGGCTTAAAATTTACCAATTTTGATACATATATTTTTTTCTAAAAAAAATGTTGCTGTAATTTCTTAAAAGAGAAGCATGGTCTTACAAAAAAAAGAAATAAAAAATATTTATATTCACCTAGTTGGATGCAGCATTGATCCGATGCTGCCTCTGTCCCCCGTTGCCTCTGCATAGGGAACTGAGCAATCAAAGACCATGATCGCTCAGTTCTCCCCCTCCACTTTGAGCAGAGAGCTGGCACTGTCAGTCTCCAGCTCTCTGCTCTGACCCTCCAGCGCTCGCTGAAGTGCTGGGCTGTGGAGGAGGTGGGAAGGGCTGGCTCAGCCTCTCAGCGGATCTCTGAAAGTATGAGCCATGTGCAAGTCAAGGTTCTGGGTGCATCCTGACCATATGGTCGGGATCTTTTCAGAGCATTGAAGTGGCTCTGTGACACCAGCAGACATTGGACTTCAGCCTGCTGTTGGCAGAAAACGGAAAAGTAACTGCACTCCTGTGATCCATAGGAGACGTACAGCCAAAAGAGCTGTTAGCTAGAGTTGAGCTTTAATTTGTTGATTGCATTTTTACCCAGTTCCCAACCATGCTATAGCCAAAAGACGGCTACAGTGCGGTTGGGTAGTTCTGGGAGGGCATCCATGGATGTCCTCCCAGAACCAACTCCCCCCCCCGTGTGATCTGTGATCACTGTGTCCTTCGGACTCAGCTGATCACATGACTGGGCCAGTCACAGCCGCTTTTACCATCTGATCAGCTGTGTCCAATCACAGCTTATCACAGGGTAAATAGGAAATGCCGGATATCATCAGTCCTCTCCTCACGCTGACAGCACGTGAGGAGGGGAGAGCCGGTAAGCGACATTTTGCAGGGGACATCTAGAGTGATCATCAGGGCACTGATCATCAGTGTCCTGGTGATTAGTGTAGCCCCATCACTATAGCCAATAGTGCCCATCAGTGCCCATGTGTGCTGGCAATCAGTGCCCATCAGTTGAATCAGTGCCCATCAGTGCCGTGCATCAGTGCTGTCCATCGGTGCCACCTAACAGTGCCCATCAGTGCCACCTATTAGTGCAGCCTATCAGTGCCCATCAGTGGAGGAGAAAAATTACTTATTTACAAAACTTTATAAATAGAAACTAAGAAAAACTTTTTTTCCCCCCAATTTTTTTTTTGTTTGTTTAGCAAAAAATAAAAAAAAAACAGTGGTGATTAATTACCACCAAACGAAAGCTCTATTTGTTTAAAAAAAAAAGATAAAAATTTTGTTTGGGTACAGTGTTGCATGACTGCACAATTGTCATTCAAAGTATGAGAGCGCTGAAAGCTGAAAAGTGGTCTGGGCAGGAAGGGGGTAAAAGTGCCTATTAGGCAAGTGGTTAAAGCTGAGCCAAACCCATCAATTTACCAGTTTGAAAGTACAGTTACATTCCCAGCAGGTGTTTGTGCTTTCAACTGTCAAACCATCAAATGGCTGGTGTCAGGACTAATCACATATGCAGCATTATGGCAGTTAAAGTTCAAACAGAGGCTATGATGGCAGCTTCCTTGGCCAAAAACGATAGGAGTGTTTAGTTCAACTTTAAAGTCATTCAAAACTCACATGTCCATCTAAGACTACCCTGTTCATGGGGTGACAATGTTACTCTGATTTTACTGAAGAACTGCTTTGTCATTCTGGTAAAAGGAGTGGCAATGTAACAGAACTATTGTTGATTATTTTCTGGGCTTGACTGGTGCCATATCCACATATCTATCAATAGCTTTCAGACTTTCAAGGTACCAAACAAAAACCTCATAAATGTAATCAAAATAGTTAAAACAGCATTTTTAGTAAGAAAGTAATTAAAAATGTAACAGATACAATATATACATATACATTCATAAACACACATTACCTAATACATACACATTACTTTCATATGCATATCATGTGTTGATGTGTTGCTGTACCATTTATTTTGAATAGCATCCCAACACGCTATGGTGATGAGTTGCAAAGTGATGAGTTGCAAAGTGATGTGATGCTTCATAGTGTGTTGTGGTGCAAATATTTTGTGACAAATCTCATTTATGTGACATTTTGGTGCATCAGAAGCTCACTGATTTCAGTAGGCAGGCCTAAAGCAACGCACATTAATGCACCTTGCAAGTGTAAATGGGCCCTTAAAAGTGAATCATAGGAAAGCTTATTAAACAATTTTTAACTCCTGCTTTTGGATATAATGGCCAAAATGAAAAGTCTATGATTGTGTTATTCTCACATTATCTACCATTTACCTAATTTGCTTTCTCAATTTTTTAACAACCCATAACTAAAGCAGGTTATCAATTTATCCCTGCTGACCTTTTAAGCTCTGATCAGCATTATTAGAAAGCATGGATAAATGATTCTTGTAGGTTCACGGTCCAATGTATTTTATCATGCATTTGTTATGTAGGTGGTATTGATCATTCTTGTATTTGCTTGCTGCCAAATTATTTAATCAGTCTTGTTTTAGTCTTGTTCACATTCAGATGATTCTGCTGAATATCTAATTTTATATCAGAGTTTTCTTATTCATTCATTTACCAACTTACAAATTATCGGTTAACTGTTGCAATGATGTATTGGAATTTATTCTAAGTACCTGAAATTTACACAGCTATTATCTTTAATCACAACTAAATAAGTAATGACTTAAATTTAAAAATAAGTAATATTAATGAGTACATTTTTCATAATAAAAGTGTGCACTGGATATGCACATCCATGCATACTTTTATTATTATATATAATTTCCTTACAATATTATAGTAATAATATTACTATATAATCTTCACATATTTAAATTCAGGTTCACTTTAACAGACAGTTCCATACAAAATAAAAAGTGGATTACATTTTTATATAGATTGATTTACATTAGTGAAAGAACTATGAAAGCAACCATATGTACTCTAAAAGTACCTACACAGCTGAGCAGAAACTGGCATTAATACTTTTCTGTTCAACCTATGACTTTACATGAAAAAACTTGACAAAAGGAGAGCCGGTAGCTTTCTTTGATAGAAGTTCTGCTCAGGAAGTCAGCTGGGTTCTTTCAACAGTTGCAGCTGCTGAAATACACTATATTGCCAAAAGTATTGGGACACCCCTCCAAATCATTGGATTCAGGTGCTCCATTCACCTCCATGGTCACAGGTGTATAAAATCAAGCACCTAGGCATGCAGACTGTTTCTACAAATATTTGTGAAAGAATAAGTTGCTCTCAGGAGCTCTGTGAATTCAAGAGTGGTACGAGACAGATTGCCACCTGTGCAATAAGTCTATCCATGAAATTTCCTTGCTACTAAATATTCCACGGTCAACTGTTAGTGGTAATATAACAAAATGGAAGCAACTGGGAACAACAGCAACTCAGCCACCAAGTGGTAGGCCACGTAAAAAATGACAGAGTGGGGTCATCGAATGCTGAAGCGCACATTGCACAGAAGTCATTAACTGTCTGCAGAGTCAATAACTAAAGACCTTCAAACTTCATGTGGTCTTCAGATTAGCACAACAACAGTGTGTAGAGAGCTTCATGGAATGAATTTCCATGGCTGAGCAGCTGCATCCAAGCCTTACATCACAAAGTGCAATGTGTCGGATGCAGTGGTTTGAACCATGCCGCCACTGGACTCTAGGGCAGTGGAAACATGTTCTCTGGAGTGACAAATCAAGCTTCTCTGTCTGGCTATCTGATGGATGTGTCTGGGTTTGGCGGTTGCCAGGAGAACGGTACTTGCCTGACTGAATTATGCCAAATGTAAAGTTTGGTGGAGGGGAGATTATGGTGTGGGGTTGTTTTTCAGGGGTTGGGCATGGCTTCTTAGTTCCAGTGAAGGGAACTCTTAAGGAATCAGCATTACAAGACATTTTGCACAATTTCATGCTCAAAACGTTGTGGGAACAGTTTGGGATGGACCTTTCCTGTTCCTACATGACTGTGCACCGCAGTGCACAAAGCAAGATCTATAAAGACATGGATGAGTGAGTTTGGGGTGGAGGAACTTGACTGGCCTGCACAGAATCCTGACCTCAACCCAATAGAACACCTTTGGGATGAATTAGAGCAGAGACTGTGAGCCAGGCCTTCTCGTAAAAAACATCAGTGCCTGACCTCACAAATGCGCTTCTGGAAGAATGGTCAAACATTCCCATAGACACACTCCTAAACCTTGTGGACAGCCTACCCAGAAAAGTTGAAGCTGTTATAGCTGCAAAGGGTGGGCCAACTCATTATTGAACCCTATGGACTAAGGACGGGGATGCCATTAAAGTTCATGTGTGTGTAAAGGCAGGCGTCCCAATACTTTTGGTACTATAGCATAGATATACTCTGTGTATTTTAATTTTTTTTTCAATATCTAAAGAAGTACAATAATCACACACTGCTTTTTATAAAAAAAAATGATGTGTCTGTCAGCTGATTAAAACTAAAAAATACAGGATATTTTTATTTATCTAAGCCAGCAGTGAGGAGAAATGTTTTAAGACAGAAGTGACATTTTCAGCCAGTGTTTTTTTTTCAATAAATGACCCTCTTTATGTCTGAATGAATCATACTTGACATATATAGATATAATGGCTTTCCCTAGGTTGAATGCATAAAAATAGCACCGGAGGTGTTACACTTAAAAAAACAAGTGCTAGAATATAGAAGGACCATATAGCCTGACCACTTGACATTTGTGAAAAGTAAATTGCCTTCTCTATGTGAGACAGCAGAAGTATAGAGCTAATTATGTACCAAAAATACATATTAGGGCAGGTGAGCATAGTTTATTTTGCGAAATAATTTACTTTCTCTAGTTTGTTTTCAGAAAATGCGCATAATATATTAGTAAGATGCCTTTTACATGAAGTGATTTATCAGGTTCACCTGTCAGTTTTTCTGACGGACTTTATCGGACCTTTCATTCACCCATATGGTACAACGGGTGTAAATGGATTTATGTCCACCTCCAATCTGATCCAGTCCGCTAAAAAAAAAAAAGCAGAAGGTGATCCCCCCACCCTCCATCTAGGTGGACTGAATCAGAGGGTATTCAGGTGTATATGGACAGTGAAGTCCAGGAAAAAGAACACTATGCATTTGCTTAAATCTCAACTGAATCTTATTTTTTTTTACTGCAGTAAAGTTAAGCTGTCCATAGAGTGATACATATGTTCCTTTTTGCATAAAGGTTTTACATGAATAAACAAAAGATGATCATTGTAAACACTCCTATCAGTGGTAAATGGTTTATCTCAACCCTGTAGCTGCTATATCTGCAAGGCAGCTTGTTATGTTGAAAAACAGCAGACTTACTGGCAGGATCACCAGATGATAAAAAAGGAAAGAAAACCTAAAAAAAATGCAACCATTACATCTAAGAATTGGTAGGCTGCAAAATAATAATTGTTTGCTTTTGGCTTTAATACTACTTAAATGCTGCAGCAAATATTAAAATGCCCTGTGCTGGCAGCACATTTGAGAGTTGGACTGCTTCTTTCTCACACAAGCAACAGCCTTGATCCCCACTGGTTTGACATGCCCCAATTAAAAAGGAACAGGAGTGTTGTTGATTAAAACAATGTGCACGGGGCATGTCGGACCACTGGAGACCCTGTCTACTACTTGTGTATGCGAGCCGCGATGTCAACCTCCAATGCACTGACGATACAATGTATTTTAAAGCCTGGTTCACACTATGCTTTCCGGTTGTGGGTGAGGGAAAGTGTGACCCAGAGAGAGAGAATGGATAGAGGGTTGGCATGAAAGGGAGGAACAGGCCAGAAAGGGGTTAAAATCTGGGTCATTTTCTGGTGAAGGGGCGTAGCTCTTACCTGATTGGAGGCCTGAAGTTTGATGGGCAGGGCAGAGCTGCAAAGGTGGTTTGTGCAAGGGATAATGGGTATTCATTTTGGAAAGTTTTGACGAAGAGGAAACTTCCCCTCTCTCCCGCCCAAAATTCTGGGTGCCTGGTGTTCTTGGAGTTGTAAGGTTCGATTTTGTGGGTGTGCATTTATAGGTGGATAATTGTACCAAACCTACAGGAAATTAAATTAGAGAATGTTGTGACAGCAGCTTAGCGGGTCATAGGGTCTTTGGGGTCAGTGTGTAACTATATTGTTACAAACAAATTGGGGGCCCATCTAGGGTATGGCACTTCCACCTGGTTAGTTATTGGTGGTTATCCCAGGAGCCAGGTACCCTTGGGGAAAATGTGAGAATGTGTGAATCGTAATGTCTTTGAGCCGGTCGGGGTGCGGCTGAGGACATGGACAGTTACAGTGATAAAATTTGCCTTAAGGACACCCAAAGACCGCTTACCTGGTTGCACTGTTGTATTTGCATTGTTAAAATTGTTCTAATTAATGTTATTTATTCATTTGTTAATAAATTGCGCTGCTCTTGCAAGATGAACAGGGCTGCCATTCATCTCCATGTATCTCAGCCTGCAGTGCAATTGCGTTTTTTTAAAAAGGTGCATGCACCTTTTTTTGTGGTTCACACGGCACAACAGCCCAATCAAATGAATGGGCTGCCATGTCTGAGCAAATGCGAGCCACACAACCTGCATTAGTGTGAACCAAGCCTAACTCTTACTGCATGTTAGAAAAAACAACAAACCTTTTGGTGTTTATGCAGTCTGACTGCTTTACTGTAATAAAAAGCAAGGGTTCAGATGGGTTTTTAGGGCTCCCTTCACACTTCTGCACTGTGGTAAAATGAAGCAAAACACATTTTATTGCATGACACCAAAATGCACAATATTGTGCAAACTCTGGAAGTTGTGGTGCCATTCAATTTGAATGGCACCCTGACTCACTACTACAGTAGTAGGCAACACAACATGACTGCAGTGCACCACAAGGCACATGCAATGCTCTGTGGTGCTTTGCATTAAATAGATCATGTCTGATTTTTCATAGATCAAAAATAAATGGGATTCCTTAAAGTGTGATAACACATTGCATTTACAGGTATGCCCATGTAAATGCAACCCAAAGGGGTCGATATGAACACCACAAGCATTGCCCTCCTGAAGTATGTGGCCATAATATATGTATTTTGCTGCAATACCTCAGTAAGGCGTATACTGCACTATGGACACAAGATGGAGATGATAATCATAGAAAATCAACAAACTGAGCAAAATGTGATCAAACTTCATTAGGGCTAGGCGAATGCTTGTAACATTTGTCCAATTAATTTTTTATACATAGACCCCATATTTTAAATAGGACAATAAAGCATAACATCGTAATAAATAGATAAAGATTTAAAGCATAATCAATAATTATTTTAAACACAAGATGGGGGTGATGTACTATAGTGTGAATTGAGGTAAAGTGAAGGAGACCTGTGTGTCTTTAAACATCCAACATTTTTTATACATGACCATGAACCTGACTGGTTGTTTAACCACTTCACCCCTGGAAGGTTTTACCCCCTTTATTACCAGGAAAGATTTTGCTATTCAGCACTGAGATACTTTAACCACTTCAATAACGGGCACTTTCACCCCCTTTCTGCACAGGCCAATTTTTGACTTTCAGCGCTGTCGCATTTTGAATGACAATTACTCAGTCATGCAACACCCATGTGAAGTTTTTATCAATTTTTCACACAATTAGAGCTTTCTTTTGGTGGTATTTATTTGCCACTGTTTTTATTCTTTGCTATGTAAACCAAAAAAGACCAAAAATTTTGAAAAAAGTGTTTTTCTTAATTTCTGTTATAAAGTTTTGCAAATAAATAATTGTTCTTCATAAATTTAGGCCAAAATGTATTCTGCTACATGTCTTTGGTGAAAATAAACAAACTCAGCGTATGTTATTTAGTCTGTAGGAAGGTTATTATGGGTGATATGTTAACCTAATAAAAAAAAGAACAAATTGGGTAAAAACACGTTAACATATCACCCATAATGTACTGTATCATTGTAATAACAGTGATGATGATGGTTACTATTATTATTATCATTATTGTTATAATTTATTTTATTTATCTACTTACTTATTTTGGGTTGTTTTTCAGTACCCATATTCTCATTTTTTTCAGTAGTCATCTTCTCATTTTTATGTAATTATTTTGATACTCTCATTATGATTGACTGTTTGGTTTTAATTATAACCCCATGAAGGGGATATTATATTGATGTCAGATTGATATGAAAATTTTCTTATGTTCTTTCTACCCCTGATGAAGTGGCCACTTAGACCCCTGAAATGCGTTGGATACTTCTTGAATTATACCTCTGACCTTTAATGGACTAAAGTTGTATCTGGACCTCTTAGCAGTGGTGTGACACTTCAATCTCAACTCTTCTTACCTTACACTGCAGGCCAATGGGACTGTGGAGTTATCTTGGTGCAGAAGCTGGCTGCCCAGGAACCAGATCATTTACAGTAACTTTAATACCTTAAGATAACAGAACCAGTAAAATAAACCTACAGGTCCAGCGCTATCTTTCCACTAGTCAATGTCTTCCAAAGTTCAACTTATAAACACAATGTCTTTCTCTTAATAGCGGTAACAAATGTAGCATCCACCTCTTTGAAGGTCTCTCCAGACTAGGAAATCCTCACATAAAAACTGTAAATGAACAAAGAGCACACTGGCATACTGTGAGATCCTCAATAAATTTTTTAATGA